GTTAACGAAACGTTTGCAAGAAAACAACCAAGCTCAGAGAACCCCGAGGACTCCACAGCTCCTAAATCTAAAATGGCCATTTATAAGTAATAATAAACAAGCCATCACTAGGGCATAAGTCACAGCAAGTGCAAGTGGCTAGATGCCTTTGTCTGATGCTGAAAAAGCTTAGCAGGGTTAGACCTGGGTAGTACCTAAGTAGGAGACACCAGGAGCTGTGGACTATATTGTGAAGCTGGAACATTTATTTATTTATTTATTTAAGCTGCAGAATATTTAAACAGCAGTTCTTTAGAACCTGTTCTTTTTCATCATTTACCATTGATTTAATTAATGGAAATTTATCTCAGATCCCATGCTGCCATATCACTGCATACAGAATGTAATTTGGTATAATTGAGCTGATATACCTTCATGGTACAGTGTTGTGATGCACACTTTCCCTAGTCTGAGATGCCAGCATTCCTCTGAAGTGTCCCTAAATTTCTTACACACTATTTTTCTTCAACTATTTACATAACTAGGGACATAATTCAGTGTTAGTATGTCTGATAGCTATGCATCAGCAAAAGCCTAACCCATATATGCTGATATATATTAACCTTGTATAATTTATTTCTCACATACACATTTGTAAGCACTGCTTTTTACCATGTTTAGATTGCAAAGAAAGTATCTTATTAATTACGGTCCCTGGTAATTTTCATCTCAGTATCCCAAAATTAAGAGCCAGTTTGTAAACCACATACAGTACAGCACTTTAGCAGCCTTTGAGATACTATTTTAAAAGAGAAGGCAGTTTTATAATTGTTTCTAAAAGGTGAAATAATTAAGTTTTAGACTATTTTTGCTTAGAGTTTCTGCAGAAAACCTTTTAAAATGTTCCTGGTCATTTAAAATATTCCTAGTCATGAGTCAGTTTTTCTCTTACACTGACATGTACTTTCAGGTATTCAAACAGGATTGTTCTCTACTGTAGTATGTCTTTTGCCGATCAGTGCTGTTCTCAGTTCAAGCACTGCATTTAAGGTTATCCATAGACAAAATCTAGAATTGATTAGGAATCAGCTGAAGATACGAACCTAAGTATGAAAACTTGTATATTGGTTTAGAACACAAAGCTCATTTTTAACCACAGAAAAGCATTTAACTCCAACCTAGAGGCATTTCAATATTCTGCTGAAACAGGTTCCTCAGCAAGATTATGTTCTACACTTTTTAAGCATGGAAGTAGCTTGTGCATTCTGCTTTGTTGAAGGTATTTCAGCTACAGGAATGCTTTCTAGGAATATGACTAATTACTTTGAGGAGCTTTTGTGTGTAGTGTTTACTATGCAATCTTTGTGACATAGTCCATGAACACTTGAAAGAATACATGAATATAAATGCTTTTATTATGATCTTAGAATACAGAAATGTTTACTAATGCAGCACTGTCAACATTAAAAAAAAAAAAAACTATAGTCCAAAGACAATTACAGAAGAATGTATCCTTTCCAAACCCAGCATCCCACTATAATTTTAACATGCAATTTTAAATACTTGCATCACAGCAGATGCTTGTCTAGCTGGCAAGGAGAGTGCTGCATGAAGTTGAGGTATATTGGTTTCTACTAATGTAGTCATACTGACTCTGCAAACTAAATACCATGTAGGTTGTTTGTGTTGCTTTAATCCTAATGACTTCTAGCTCAGCAAGTTTGATGACCTATTGAGCAAAAATGCTTTTGGTATCCTAAAACAAATGGTGGGCTCTAGGAAGTGGTTTGTTCCTTGACCATTAGGAATATAGTTCTTTGGGTGCCAGCTGTTATATAAAGTTATGCTACACTTTATGAATATATGCCAGTACAGTCTGGGAGATTTGGCAGACCAAAGTATGCATGTGTGCTCATAAAGGTCTCTTCTGTGGGAATTTAATTCCAGCCAACCTTGACTGATCTTGAAAACTATGTAGGGTTGTACCTGGGTAGTACTTGGATGGGAAATTACCAGAAAATTCTAGGATTATAGGCTAGGTTGAAAAGTTGAAAAAACATCCTGGAAGAAGGCAAAAGCGATGGCTTCTATATTGTTCCCAAGAAAATTACACAAATGTGTCCCTAAAGTCACCAGAAACCGAACTGCACTTGATGGAAGACCAATTTTTGAAACCTCCAAATACTAAAATTTAAAACGTTAAAAATTAGTGAATCTTGACAAAAGCAACACACAGGCTATACCTCCATGCTCCTCATGTACTATACCAGAAATTAAACATTAGATGTACAGGATAATCACTGCCCAATTTTTCAGTCTTGTTTTATACTAAATGTGAACATTTCCATTAGTGATGAGGTACTCATATTATTTTATAGATATCCTTTTTTGATATAAACTTATCCTACATATAGAGCTGGAGTGATTCATTTATTCATCAAGAAACAAGCAAATTAGGACTCTGCTTTTGAAAAATTACTGCTATGTGAAGACTGAAGTACAAGAAAGTCTTATTCAAGAAATCTAAACTAGTAATTTGAGAAATGACAGACTCAGAATTGGCAAACTGATGCAAAATATTTATTCCAAGTTAGTTATCTTTTGATGCAGTAGTTTTCCCCCTCATACAGACTCAATGTGATAGTCACTTTTTTAAATCTGTAAATAATGTTATCAAAATAATCTTAATCTTTGAAATCCCACAAAAATTTTATATTTTAACAATCCACCCTGAATATCAAGGTTGCAAGAACACAAACAATTCCTATATCCAAATATTTTACAGCTGTACCCCAAAAAAAGAAAAACCAAACACGCCTGGTTAAGTGATGAAGCTCCCCGAGCCGCCAAAAAATAAAAAAGTTCCATGTTATTAGCATTAATTTAACACAATTAGAACTTCCGTAGCCATTTTGTCATTGACAATGATTGTTTTAGCACATTATTGCCGCGCAACATTTTGCAATGTGGACGGCAGTATGAGAAGCTTGTGGTTGCCCAACTTAAGTCTTTTGCATCCTGCTCCTGATGAGACTGAACCCATGCCTTGCTCCAGAAGGCAGAATGGATTGTTCTCTACGAAGCACAGAAGGGCAAAACCAAAAAGTAGTAAGCCAATAGCTTTCTTCTTTGGGATATAATTCTTTCCCTTGTGCATGAAGTTTTCAACAATAAAAAACTGAACAGACTTGAGATAGAATAAACTCTGCTTCATTCGAACCCCAAACATTTTATGTGCTGAACTACAAACTGAGTTTGCTGGGTTGGTTTTATATTGTAGATTTTTTGGTGCCCATTTTCAGGCATCGTCGTCAGAAGTTTCACTGCTACTTGTTTCTGTATCTGACTCTTCAAACTCTGTCTTAAAAGTGCTTCTCCAGTGGGAGAATAGTTGACTGCTGCCCTGGCCTCGAAGAAATTCACTCTTCCGAAAGCCATTTCTTCTTAGCTAGATAGAAAAGAAAGAAAATTTTCATATTTGTTTCCCTTTTTCATTCAGAATAAAATCAACATTCATTTGTTGTCAGATGCACCAAAACAAAATCATTTAATTTTAACCACATGGTTTATTGTACTCATTGTTCTCAATCAGAGATTTGTACACACAACTTGAGTTACAAAGTAAAATGATGCTAAAAGACGGGTAGTTGAACATACCTGCTCTGACTTTATTTGGAACTCTTTGAGCTCATCCTCTGTAAGGGGAAGGCAATTCTCATCATTTTCAGGATATTCCTGCCATCCCATTGCTTTCAGTAATCTAGCAAAGATAAAATAGACAGAAAGGACATTGGATTTAAGATGTCATTATGGAAGAAAAGAGATTTTATTAATTATTAAGCACAAGAAAATTCACAACTATTTTACTGCTGCTTACCACTATTTTGGTAGGAACAATATTGTTCTATAGGAGAGAAATACTTCTATAAAGCAAGTTAGGCTAAGAGTTAAATGAAACACTTACAGAAAAGTTGGGGATGGGGTAAAAAAGCACCAAGGCAAGGTTCCCAAATTGTGTGCTGGTAACCTGTTGAGGGTTATGAACTATTTGGTGTGTGTGTGGGTCATCACAACTTTTAAAATTGATCGACCTTGTACAGACAGAGTGGGAGCACTGTCAAAACTTATTTTGGGCTTTGCCTCATTTTGTCTGTCTAAGCTCAAGTGGACAGCTGCAGGACCCTGTGATCTAAATATTAAAATTTATTTGTTGCTTATGTCTTGTCAATTGTTCTATATATGGTGAGCCAGTGTCACAGAAATTCATCAAATATTTTGGAAAGAGCAGTACCACAAAATTTGAGAAACCCTGCACTAAGGCGGTAAGATTTAAAAAATCCAGTTCCTGTCCTCTTTAACTAGAATAAAACTATTATTTTCAAATAACTGGAAAATTACACCCTTCTTGAATTATTATACTATATATTGTACACTCGTTTAATGCTTGAAGGACCGAAGGAACAGGAAGGAAGTTTTTAAACATCTTTATTGCTTTGGTTCTTTGACAGCAAACACAGGAGAATGATCTACTTTCACCCCATTCTACTTTACTAAAAAGGATTGCGTAAAGGCAGTAAATGTCATCCTTCTGCTATGTCTGATGAAGCAGCTCCTTAGCTAGATTGAATTGTACCAGAGACGCTCATGCAGCCTTAATCTAGTCCCAAGACTGAGGAACCTATGATTAGGAGATTAAAGACTGCTTCCATGCAATCATTCTTGTGTTATCAATGAAGAGTAGGACTTCTTTCCCTGTCCTGTGAAACATTTCTGTAAGAAATGGCAAAGAGGCAATGCTTCCATCGAATGCATCAACTGCAGGGTATATGTAGTACCAGAAGAGAAGAATGTTCATAATGAGAAGCCAAAAACTTTTATTGTACAGGTAGTTCCCAGTTTAAGAATGAGTTCTATTCCCAAGATTTGTCCTTAAGTCAAATCTGTATGTAAGCCGGAACAGTATTATTGCATAATACTGTAGAAGTAGTATTGTGTAATTAACTCAAACCATTGTGTATTTAACTTGAATCATTGTGTATTTAACTCTAATTTTGCTACAATAGGCTCCGTTCTTAACTATGGGTCATCTGTAACCCAGGGACTACCTGCATTGTACTGAATGTCATGGAGTGATGGTGCCACCTCAAGAAATCACAGGTTCTTGTTTTAGAGCTGGTTAAACTTCTATTAATTTCTACACAGTTCTGGTGGGACAGTATTTTCCAGGCCAACTGCCTCATCCTCACCTGTGTTCTGCTTCTAAAGAGTGAGAAAGATTCTCTCCCTCTTCCAAAGGCAAAGAAAGGCCATTCTGATGGCAGTTCTCCTCCCAGTTTTCCTTTGGTTCTGCTGTACTGCCACCATCCACCTAGTGAGGAACAAAAGACAAATCAAAATCACACTTGTAGAATAGTTCTTTTAATGCTCATCAATGACATTTCAGAAAGTTCTCTAAATGACATGCTCAGGAAGTACAGACTTTAAGATGAGGCGAATAACTTCCTCAAACCAACACTGAGAAGCAACTGACTGTCCAAGAGTGTTAATAATAGCTAGTTCTATAGTTTAATTTCGAATATATTTTTTATTAAGAATTTTGATTATAATTAAATCTAATACAAAGTAGGAGTAAAAAGTGCAAGGAAAAAAAAACAGAAGAAAGAAAGAAACTTATGAATATAATAGAAAGAAAAGAAAGGAGTGACTTCCAACCTTCATCACAAGTATAAACAAATTTAGTAACTCTTCACCCTCTCTAAA